TATAGTAGAAAAATGTTTTCATTAAGTTTATATTTTGCCTTTTTTCCTCTTAAAACATCTCATTGTCAAGCAATTTCAATCAGTATCCCTATTATTTTCTTGAAATCATACAATAGCTCAAGTGACAAATCTTGTGGGGTTTGTTTGTTTGTTTTTGAGACAGGGTCTCGCTCTGTTGCCCAGGCTGGAGTGCAGTGGCCCAATCCATAGATCACTGCGGCCTCAAACTCCTGGGCTCAAGCAATCCTCCTGCCTCAGACTCCCAAGTAGCTGGGACAAGAGCTGTGTGCCATGCCCAGTTAATTTTTCTATTTTTTGTAGAGATGAGGTCTTGCAGTGTTGCCCACACTGGTCTCAAACTCCTGGCCTCAAGCCATCTTTCCACCTTAGCTTCCCAAGTAGCTAGAACTACAGGCGCACGCCACCATGTCTGGCCCTTAGTAGGTTTTCTATGCTTGTTGCTAACAAAATATAACAGATTATGGGTTTTCCATATATTTTCTTAAAATTAAGGGAAATCCACACACATATTCTGGTTTTTCACAGGAAGAGTAAGATGGTATCACCTGTTTATTGAACTCCACAGCAGCCTTTTCCGACTCAAACATGATGGACCAGTTTTGTCGCTGGTCATCATAAAAGGTGCTATAGTTATTGGGCCGAACCTAGGGAAAAGACAAATGTTAAGATAACTCATCCATAAGCAGCATACCAGATAAACCTTACTGCCTAAACCTGACTCAGGTGGACCCAAAGAGAGGTGTCAGGGCCCTTTCTTCTTCCCTCCCACCTTCCACCAACCACCCCTTAGTGCACACTCCCAGAAGAAGCCAACAGACCTTTCTGAGAGGCTCTGTTAAATTCCCACAATGACACCCAAGGCTGAAGCACTGGCTCTAATTTCTACTACATAGATTCAGGCTAATTCTTCCTGTAAACCTATCCCAAAGGAGCTAATGATTCCAATATGAGGAAGCCTTACCATTAGCTCAAAGTTCGGATGAATCCTAGCAACAGTGACTGGCTGTTGCTGACTGATATAAAGAAGAATCCTATACTGTACTCCAGCAAAGACAGGCAGGATAAAAAAGAGAACAGAAGTTAAAAGGCAATACAGATGTCAGGGGTTATGCTTTATATAGCTATAAAATTCAAAATCTGTTCACCCCTTAAAGCTTAGATTTTAAATGATATCTTTTTTACTATCCATTTTAATCTATTCTTGTTTTGGCCTTACTCCTTAACTGTAATTGGCAATGTCTTTATTTTGTTGTTTTCATTTATAATGAGGAGTCACTTAGAGATAGCAACTGGTTGCTTAAAATGCACTTTTTTTTTAAATTGAGGAAAAACATATAGAAAAGTCATAAATCTTAAATGTACAACTCAATTTTCATACATATTAATATATTACACATATATACATCCATGCGACCACCAACCAAATTAAAAAAACAGAGCATTTCCAATACTCCAGAAAGCTCCCTTATGCCCCTTCCTAGTCAATAATCCCCACCCTGAGGTAACCACTATTCTATCACTGATTAACTTTGCAATTCTTACATTTATATAAATGGGATTATACAGTGTACACTCTTTTGTCTTGCTTCTTTCACTCACCATGTCCATAGGATTAAGCCTTGTTACTTCTGTACCAGTACTTTGTTCTCTTATATTGTCTCGTAGTATTCAATTATGTGCATATACCATAATCTATTCATCCATTCTCCTGTTTATGGACTTTGAGTTGTTTCAGGTTAGAGGCTATTACAAATAATACGTCTATGAATATTCTCCATGTCTGTTGGAGGACATAGACAATTTTCTCACTTCTTTACATGTCAAGTAATTTTTGATTAAAGGCCCAATTTGTATATAAAACAATATGGGGGATAAAATCATAAAACTCTCAGTAGAAATCATTGGGATAAATTTTCGAAACCTTGGTTTTGGCAATGGATTCTTAGACATAACATCAAAAGCACCATGACAAAAGAAAAAGCAGACAAAATGGACTTCATCAAAATTAAAAACTTTTTTCTTTTTTTTCTCCCGTGGAAGATGGCCTAACAAAATCAAAAACTTTTGTGCATCAAAGAGCATTATTGAGAAAGGAAAAAAACAACCTACAGAATGGGAGAAAATATGTACAAATAGGATTTAATATTCAGAATATGTTAAAAAAAAAAAAAAACTACAACAACTCCACAACAAAAAGACAAAAACTCTAAAAATGGGAAAAGGGCTTGAATAGGTATTTCTCCAGAGAAGATATACAAATGTCCAATAAGCACATGAAAAGGTGTTCAGCATCATTAGACATTAGGGAAATGCACATTAAAACCACAATAAAGTACCACTTCACACCTACTAGAGTGGCAAGAATTAAAAAAAAAAGACAAAAAAAACCCAGAAAATAACAAAGTGTTGGTGAGGATGTGAAGAAACTGGAACTTTCATACACTGCTTGTGGAAATGTGAAACAGTGCAGCAGCTACAGAAAACAGTTTGATTATTCCTCAAAAAGATAAACATAGGGCTGGGCACAGTGGCTCACCCCTGTAATTCTAGCGTTTTGGGAGGCCCAGGCGGGAGGACTGCTGGAGGACAGGAATTCAAGACCAGCCTGAGCGAAGAGCGAAACCCCGTCTCTACAAAAAATTAGCTGGGCGTGGTGGTGCATCCCTATAGTCCCAGCTACTTGGGAGTCTGAGGCAGGAGGATCGCTTGAGCTCAGGAGTTTGAGGTTGCAGTGAGCTATGATGATGCCACTGCACTCTAGCCAGGGCAACAGGATGAGACCCGGTCTCAAACAAACAAACAAAAAAAGCTAAACATACAATTACCATATGGCTCAGCAATTCCACTCCTCACATATACCAAAAAAACCAAGAATAGGAACTCAAACATATACGTCAATGTTAAAGTTTATTGCACCATTATTCACAATAGCCAAAAAGTGCAAATAATACGTATCCACCAGCTGTTGAATGGATAAACAAAATGTGGTATACACATACAATGGAATATTATTCAGCTGTGAAAAGGAATGAAGTACTGATACATGCTAAAACATGGATGAACCTTGAGGATATTATGCTAAAGAAAATAGCCCAATCACAAAAAGATAATACTGTATGAGTCCACTTATATGAGGTATCTAGAATAGGCAAATTCACAGAAATAGAACGTAGATTAGAGGTTATGCAGGGATGGGAAAAAGAGAAATGGAGGGTTATTGCTTAATGGTTACAGTTTCTGTTTGGGATGATGAAAAAGTGGAAATAGCAGTATTGTTGCTCAATAAATTGTGAATGTAATTAATGCCACTGGATTATGCACTTAAAAATGGTTAAATGGCAAATTTTATATATATATCTCCTCACACATACCACAATGAAGAAACAAACAAAAAACAAACTATTAAAATTCACTCCCAGAAGTGGAGGGACTCTCCAAATTCTTAAGCTAGGACCATATCACAAAGGTCAAATTTAAAGATTTTGAATGGTTGGATCTGTTTTAATGCACAATGTTAAGCAAATATATATACCCAATATTACAAATTCACATTTAATACAAATAGTCATTCCTCTGACAAATGAAACACTGGGCACGCCCAGATAAAAACCAGCTCACTGGTATTATTTGGGACACTTAAATATAAAAGAGATGTGGGGGCATTCTCACCTCTCTGGCTGTGTGGTTCCCCAGGACTGCAGCACCAAATTTGCCCTGCTTTACATATTGACCATTTGTGCTACAGAAGCAAGAAAAACATCAGGTATTAATACTCCCCTAAACTATGGAGAACCAGCTTTCTTTCCTGCCATACAGAAGTGGAGAATCTAGCCATTCAGCCTCTGGAAAGGGACATAGGTGAGCAGTTTATAATTTAAAGCCCTTACACAACTTCTTTACTCTTTAAATATGCTACTCATGCTATCTCAGTGGAGGAGCTTTCTTTGAAAACTTTGACAGTTGTTGAGGGTACAATTACTTCCTAAAAAGAGCAGACAAGACAATGGCTCTTCAAGTTTTATGCGCAGAAATTCCCAATTGAAATGTTAAAAGTACTAGTGATACTTTGTCTATGAAAGGGCTGAGTAACCATTTTGCAATGAACAGGTTTTTTGAGAAACCCCTCCACCAAATTTCAGAAAGTGTTCCTTCTCAGCTACTTACTATCGATACGCATGGACTGCTGTTGCATGCAGTACTGTAGAAGTGCCCCCGGTGGTTGGTGCTGTTTTTGGTGTTGCCTGATTTCCTGAAGACAAAGAAGAAAAAGCTGTCATTCATTTCTTGTTTGAAACTGATTTTTAACTGTTAAATTAGCTTTAAAATTCTTCTTTACATCCTATAGTTAATGTTACAATGCTTTCATGATCCTTACCCTTATTTGATCCACAAAACAGCCCTATGACCTAGCCTGGGGTGAAGAAACAGGCTCTAAGCACTCGAGTGCCTTACACAATTACACAAGCCTAGGACTAGAACCCATGACTCCAACTCCAAAACCATACATGTCAAACAAAAAGTCTTCGGGCTGGAGAAGGAGCATTGTCTAGAAAGCAAGGTCATATTCCATCTACTTTTCCCTTTCTAATATTTTGACAGCTAAAATAAATAAAGTTATTTCCCCTTCCTTTATTTCTAGGGCAGGAAATTTAGGATGTTATTCAAATAATATCCATTACTTAACTTCACAAAGTGCTATAGAGTAACACTAATGTTTTAAAATAGCATATTAAGAATAAATCACATATTTATGTTCACTA